CTGAGGAACGTAAGATATTAGGTACGGAACATGAGAGGTTGTCATTACCTATAATTTGTGTATTGGTACTATACGTCGATCAATACTGTACTATCTCCTACGTATCGAGTGTTTAAAAAAAAAAATTAAAAGGAAAAGAAATACAAAACCTATACCATCATGTAGGTCCAATGATCTGCATAGAAAAACAAAAATGTTAGAAAGATGAATGTATGCATGATATGTCATCGTCGCATACGAAAAGGATAAGATATCTCTGACATAGTAAATAACACAAAATAGTCACCTTTTATTAGGCACAAAAGACTCTCAAATATAAGGCAAAATGAGAGTATATAAAGGGGATTGTAAAGGCAGATACAAGCCAAATCTAGCACTTTCGTCAAACAGAAAGTTGATGGACTAAAGACATTGTATCACCCATCAGACATATACCAAATGCCCCATTTACCTTAGTGCCACCCAATGGGTTCCAAAGTATTAAGATAGTTGGCGTTTCACACGGTAAGGCTGTTAATCAAAAATTAACTTGTGATACATGAGAATAAGGTTATTTTGGACTATTTTCCCATTCATACTATGCCACACAACCATAATCTTTTTTATATTTTATAAGACAAAAACAAAAATTAAAAACATAAACAAAAAATGGGATTGATAATAGTATTTTTAACCTCATATATGCTTTTTAATAGAACATCAAAAACAACAAAAAAATAAGAATCCAAAAGCATCATGGGTATATGTTGAACACCTTAACTGCATCGCTCTATTTTATCCTCCCTTTGTCTTAGCCTACATGATGGTATTTTATCCTCCCTTTGCCATGGACGACCTCGAGCATATGTTTTCAAGGAAGTAGAGCTTGAATTCTTATGTAAGTTAAGTGAAAGAATAGACTAAGAGTAGCTTTAGGCAACTGTACCACTCCCACACTAAGCCTCTCAACGTTGTTTGAAATGCATAGCACAACAGAGCATCCAAGGTATTGTATAATGACAATTGAGTGCAAAAAGTGATGATGTGTTCTACTGACATCAAAGTTATCATTGAAGGCCTACAGTGATGGGAGACAAAAGTTTGTTGGGATCGGTTCCTCTTGGATGCTTGAGGTGGGGAGTATCCCGAGGTGGGGTCATCTACACCTTCTTGTTTGGACTGTCGGAACTCCTTCTACATCTCATCCGGGTGTTGGTCTCTCTGTAGCAGTTAGGCTCTCAGAGAGTTGTCAATTAAATCTACCAATTGGATCTACGATTCTAGTATGTTTAGGCCTTAGTGAGGCAGCACACTAAACTCTACAGGTGGGGAGTGGGGCACCCCCTATGTTAGCAATTCAACAGGGCGAGGACGGTCCTGAGCTATCAATGCTAGATCAATTGAGGGACCCTGGGGAGCATAAGTGCCAATGGTGGTTGAGACATATGCTGCGGTTGCAACGAAGCAATAGTTTATTGAGCCAATTAGGGTAAGAGTGGAGCGATTACCTGTATCATGCTCTTGATGCCTACACTTGGTGCATTAGGCTCAGGAATGCTTTAACAGGGATAACAAGGTGCCTCGCATTTGTCCCTAAAGGTGAGAGTCTTGGGTTATTAAACAGATGCTAAAAACGCCCCAACGTCTGAGCGAAGGTGGATGGATCTATTTGAAGAAAGGATGGTAATTGTCCGCCTTGTATAAATGTGTTATGGGTTGAGGGTAGAGCCTACTCACTTGAGCGCTCATTGAGAGGGTTCATGGGTAGACATTCCTAAGACATTCTAGGCTATCCTTTTAGTCCAAAAATGTTGAGATGTGCCATCGACAATCGAGTCAGCTCGACTTAGTCTTATCATGAAGGCGTAGATATGTTTAAGGAACCCTTGTCATAGCCTTAGCATGGTTGAGGTGGCTCTGAGGTAGTCTTTATAACTCTAACCTATTCGAGATGGTTTTTGATAGAAGATAAGAGTTCCCCAACTATATGTATAATTGTTCTATTGAGGAAAATCCTCTATTCTGTTGAGGAAAATCCTTCCTTTTAATATGTATAAATAGGAGAGGGACACGATAATGTATTTAAACTAAAGCTTCTTCAATAAAGCTTCTTAAATAATTATTATTATCTTATATTCTTTGCATCATGGTATCAGAGCAGTAAGAAAAGCGAAGCTTCGCTCTTGCCTTCGCAGTGATCAATGCTGCTGAGAAAAGCAAAGCTTCCCCCTTGCCTTCGGCCAACGACCAACGTCGCTGCAGCCGAGGCTCCACGGCCAATCCTCATCTTCCTCACCGCAATAGTCTTCGTTGATCTGCCAACAGTCGGCGGACTTAAGGAGAACGAAGGGCGGACTTAAGGGGAATGAAAGGAATGCCTGTGCCCTCAAAGCAACAGCAATCGCAGGAGCAACAGCGATCTGCTCTTGCGGGGGCATGATAGAAGATAAGATTTTCCCAACTATATGAGAAAATCTCTTTCTTCTGTTGAAGAAAATCCTTTATTCTGTTGAGGGAAATCCTTCCTCCTAATCTGTATAAATAGGAGACAGATAGGAGACAGACATGTTATTGTATTTAAGCTAAATCTATTTCAATCAATGTTCTTATATTCTATTGCTAAGGTGGGATCTGGCTTCTCGGTGTATTCCTAGGTGGGATCTGGCTTCTCGGTGTATTCCTGCATTATTTAAAAATTATATGGGGTGTGAGAGGGTTTTGGAAAGAGATCCGACCCTCTTGGGCTAGTGCCAAGGGTTGGCTTTTATACCTGATTAATTAATAAGATCCTTTATAACGATCTTAACGTCCTCTCCTTGATGTTTTGTCCATAAGGGTGGACCTCCTGTGAACTATTATCTAAAGGAATCGAGAGAGGGGAGAGGGGATAGACCTAAACAACCCCCGTGAAATGTTAGCCATGAAGGCCAATAAGGCTAGTCCGAACGACCTCCCATGGACTATTGTCCATATTCACCTAACTAATCTATTTTTTAAAATAAAATTTATTATTAAAATTAATTAATAATATCAAAATTCATAAATAATAATAATACTTATAAAAATTATATATTAAAATATAAATATATTTGAATATAAATAATAATATTTATTGATATTATATTATTTGGTTCAATTGAACCAAATGACTTGCAATCAACTCAACCAAGGTTTAATCTAGCCTGATTTGAATAAGGTGGGCGGTAGGCCTAATGAACATATGGGCCCACATCTTAGCCCACATATTAATATGGTAGGTATAGGACGGGGTGGGAAGTGCTTTACCTGTCTTCAACCCATAACCGTGCAAGTAATAAAAAAAATACCCCCATCCCCTTATCCACTTTTTTTTCTCTAAAAGTTTTTTTTTTAATCTTTTTTTAGCCTCGGGCGTTTCTCGCTCGAATATAAGCTTTGTGTCCTAAAGAACTATCTCATCCTAAGGTGGGTCCACCGATGATGATGTCAACGACAGCTCAGGACTGTCCTCGATCAATTGATCTAGACGATCCTAATGTGGGTCCAACGATGATGATGTCAATTGATCCAAAGACTGTCTCATCCTAAGGTGGGTCCATTGTGTCCTAGAGACTCCTCAATAGAGAGTTTGTGGAGAGGGTTCATAGGTGAATGTTCCTGAGATATTCAGAGCCCTCATTCTAGGACTAAATTGTTGAGGAGATGCACCATCGATAGTTGAGTTAGCTCAGCTTGGTCTTATATCGAATGCATAGAGATGTCTGATGAACCCATGTGGCAGCTTTATCATGGTTGAGGTGTCTCTGAGGTGGTCTTGAGGTTGGGCCGAGGTGGATTTGACTTCTTAGTAGGTTCCTACATGAAGGTCAATGTTGAGAGGAGTTTCCCTACTTGACCCCTCCGGTACGCAAGTTAGTATAGAAAATTATATGGGTTTGTGAGAGCTTTTTAGAAAGATATCTGACCCCTAGGTTGACACCGAGGATCAGCTTTTATACCTAATTGGTTGAGGAGATCCTCCATAATGACCTCAACATCCCTCATTTTGTGTTTTGTCTACATGGGCAATAGGCTTGAATAAGCTCCCGTGGACAAGTCCACGGGGGCAACAAAAGGAGGGATAGCCCTAAATGACCTCCATGAACTATTGGCCACGAAGGTTGATAGCGTCAGTCCAAATGATCTCCCGTGGACTATTATCCATGGAGGTCGGCAAACCATAACTACCTCCATGTCATTGCCTCGTGGAGGGTGATTCAACATGTTTCTTCCATGTCAGTACTTCTGAGGTGGTTAGCTGGCGGATGGGGATTGATTGCAAAAATATTTCATATCAATGTCGTTTAGGATACCCTTCAACTTGTGCCTCTTTTGTATGAAAAAACATTTGCTTTATTAAAATATCATTACAAATTCCATGCTACTCTTGAGTGACTTTACTTGTTTACATGAATGCTCATCCATTTATCTGAAATTATTAAAAATGTCAACAAGGTGAGGCAGAGTGAGGAGTGCTTTCTCATTCCCCATCCCCATCTCATCCCTCGTTCCTCATCCCCACCCATTTAGATGGGGCTTGGGTAAGGATGGGGAATCCTCAGGGCAAAAAACTCATAAGTTTTTCATATTCACATAATTAATCTATTTTTTAAAATAAAATTATTATCAAAATTAATTAAAAAAATTAAAATATATAAATAATAATAATAATAATATGTATAAAATTTATATATTATAATAATATTTAAATAGAAATATATCTTAATATAAATAATAATATTTGTTAATACCATATTATTTGGTTCAATCGAACCAAATGACTTACAATCAACTCAACCAAGGCTTAATTCAGCCTGATTTGAATTAAGTGGACGATTGGCCCGATCAACATTTAGGCCCAACATCTTGGCCCACATAGACAATGTGGGTATAAGACGACGTGGTAAGTGCTCTACCTATCCCCATCCCATAACCATCCAAATAATAAAAAATACCTTCATCCTTGTCTCATTAGGGGCGAGTCTCGTATTGTTATCTTGTACAACAATGCTAGTTTTGCCACCCTATTCTGCTACGATGATTTGATGTTTGCTTAACTTGAACTGATATAATTTTATCATGTCCTTAGTTGAGATTACCTAAGGTATACGACACCTAAGTGATATTTGTTTATAAGGGTTAGCTTAGACTTTAACCTTATGTAATCTACAAAGAATCTACATAAAGAAAATAATGTTAGAAAGATGAATGGGTGGGTGAAATACCATTGTTGTACTTTAAAAGTGTATAATAATTGAGATCACAAGCAACATAAAAGAATCAACTTTTATTAAGAATAAAAGACTAAAAAATGGGTTAAACAAGCATATACAAAAAGAGTTTTGAAGGTAGATACAAGCCGAAAATTCACCTAACACTTTTGTCAAATAGAAAATAGGCATTCTAAAAACGTTATATCACCCCTCAGACATATACACACAAGGCTCTATCCACTCAGATGGCACTAGGTGATTCCAAGGAAATAATATAAAAAATTAATTCTATGTGCCACAAGTTAATTTTTGTTTGATAGTTTTGTGATATGAAATAAAAATGTAATCGAGTTATAAAATAGAAACACAGATAATAAACCAAAATGGAAATGATGATAGTATTTTTTGCTCCATACACGTTGCCAAAAAAAATCACTCAAAAATATCAAAAACAATGAAAAACAAAGACTAAAAAGAGGTAAGTACATGCATCTAGCATTTTGACTAAATTGCTCACAACACGATATAGGTCCATTGTAGGATCAAAATCATTCGATTTATCTTGGTCCATATATACCAAAAATCATTACACCAGAAATTTTTATATTTTATAATATTTATAACATGTATATAAGAGGTGAGGTTGTCATCGCCAAAGTTGGTAATTTCGTGCACCGATACTGTGACACTCAGGTTTTGAATCAGTATCGAGACTTGGTAAATCAAATGTGGATCGAGTATTAAATGAAAAAAATATAAACAAATACAACATTATACGGAGCCTATACTGTCATGCACTTGGTGCTATGAGGCCAATATAATATCGGTCCCGTTGGTTTAACTGATGTTTTGGTTCGGTTCATCTACTCATACCAAAGACTGGTTGGGGTCACTTAGTACTTTAAATATATATAGAAAATAAGATTAATTATTTTAATATTAGTTGAGATTGCTGAGTTGGTCTACTGCGCTAAATTAAGATTTTGGTCCGAAAGCGCGTGGGTTCAAATCCCACTCTCAACAGATTTTTTATGTTCTATCTACCTACAATTACTAAAGTACTTAACGTTGTTTTTGTGTTTTACCCACGTGGAAGATCGTCTTCCATCCTCACGTCAGGACCACAACCACTTCCATCCTCTAGAGGTCACAGGCAATACAATAAATACACCTAGTACACACAGGCAATACAATAAATGATATCTATCGCTTCCATCACGAGAGCTCGGAGCCATGCCACTTGTTTATAGGTTATAGAAAAGATGCTCGTAGAGATTGCTCGAAATAATATAAAACAGTTTGTCATCTACAGTACATACAGAGCAGAAAATAAGAGAGGAGACGACGGAGATAAAAGACACATTCTTAAGAAATAAATAAATATATTTCCCCCACGCAATCGTACAACATCAACCCCTCATCTGTTCATAGGGATTGGAGGATAATTCCAAAGCATTAAAGTGTATAACATATTCCCAACCAACAAGTAATTGGAACTTTCGATCGACAGTATGAAAGTCCATTTGTCGAGCGTCGTCTATCCAGCAACACATTGGACGTCTGGGTCGACTCGAGTGAATTGGTTGTCGTTGGCATTGATGCAAACAGATTTCACTGGAGTTGTCCCTCCAACCATGGAGAGCTTCACATTCTCCAGGTGGATGCCTTTACATGGAACGCTCTTGCTGCAGAGTATTTTGATGGGGTTCTCCGTGGTGGTCGTCCCAGAAAAATTCACAAACTGCACGTCGCTTATTGCCACCGCGGAGGTCTATTTTCCAGCGTTTTTCCCCAAGTCAAATGATCACTAATATGAGCTGATATAGTAAGATGGATAGCATTCATGTCAAATACTTACGTGGTTTTGGCAACTGTTACCGTTACAGTAGAATTGGTCGATCATAATTGGCGTCTTAACCGAGTAGAGCCTCAGATTCTCAAACACGATGCCTCTGACATATCCAGATCCTCCCTGCCATGTCTTGATTCTTGCGCCTGTGAGAGCATCCATTACACTGGAATCGGATACACGAATGTTCTCGACTGATTGTTCCGCACCATCCCTTCCCAGACTTCCAATGCTGTGAAGAAACATCATGAGAAATCTAGCTAGCAGAATAGTAGAGGCTCTTCTTCTTGATGAGCATAGCAATGAAGTACCTGAAGCCATGGCCAGGGCCGCAATGGACGCAGTTGATGTTGATCTTTGAGCAGTCGGGGCCGATAGCTACGCAATCATCTCCTGCACTCATGGCAATTCAAGAATGCATCAGGACGATCGAGGAGTAGCATGCAGCAGCACTAATCGACCTCAGAGAACAGCCGATACTGACCTGTTCCGATAATTGAGCCGGAGACGTCGACGTTCTGGCACCCGGAGAAGAACATCCCGTCTGTGTTGGGGCTGTTGCCCGGCGCTGTTATCTTGACCCAGCTAATCGTCACGCCGACGCATTTGAAGAAGGTCATATGCTTATCGGGGCCGTTCTTTATCGTTATTCCTCTCACATAAAGATCGTTGCAGTGATGGAAGGTTAAGATCTGACCAAACACAATAACACGAGATCAGAATGGCTTCGTTCTAAGATCAACAGTGTTACGTAGGTCTCATCAGTGAGGTTGACACTTACGTAAGGCCGACGCGAAACTTGCTGTGGTTGACAGAGACAATAAAGCAAACAGTCAGTAGGTCAGACAAGATGCGAGGAAGGTGACAATAGAGTTTGGATCAACGTGTCCACCTTTTTGTCGAAGAGGTCCCACCAGAGTTGGCCTCTGCCATCGATCTGCCCGTAGCCGTGCACGATCAGACGGTTCACGAACGTGAAGGTCAACAAGCTGG